GGAGCAGAGACAGCGTCTGCCATGGGCCGGGGGTGGGCAAGTGTGGCCTTTTATGTGTGGTCTGGCCGCGAGCACTCAGTGGAGGGAGGGGCAGTATGGCCTTTGCGTTGGGTTGACCTTGGCTGGCTGCATGGTGCCCACCCAGCCGCTCTATCACTCCCCTCCTCAGCCAGACAGGGGGGAAGAAAGAAAAAGAACTCATGCATCGAGATAAAGGCAGTTTAATAAAGAAAAGCAAAGGCCACATGCAGAAGCAAAGGAAAATAAGAAAAAAGATTTATTCTCTACTTCCCATCAGCGGGCGATGTCCAGCCACTGCCTGGCATGTACGGCCTCAGTACATGTAGCAGTTGCTCCGGAAGACAAACACCTTAATGATGAATGGCCCCTCCGCTCCTCCTTTCTCTTAGCTTTTATTGCTGAGCACAACGTCATATGGTATGGAATATCTCTCTGGACACCTTGGGTCAGCTGTCCTGTCTATGTCCCCTCCCAATCTCTTGCCCACTGGCGTGCTGGCCTTTTGGGGGGAGGGGACATTGGAGAGACAACCTTGATGCTGTGGGAGCACTGCTCAGCAGTAGCCAAAACACTGGTGTGTTCTCAACACCTTCCTAGCTACAAATACAAAGCACAGCACTATGAGAGCTGCTATGATGAAAGTTAACTCCATCCCAGCCAGACCCAAGACAATCTCCACCCCTTATTCCATACCATTTGCGTCATGCTCAGGTCCCACGTAATTTAATACATTTATACATTTTCCAACCATCCCTTTGTATGTAATTCTCATTACTGAAATCCCTTCTTACCGACACAAGTTATACCACATACTTAAACCATCTTTATACCCAACTTAACAGATTTACACATTCTCGTTAACTACTGTCTATCTCCTGTCCCTTAACAGATAGATATTCTTCTCCTATTCCATGGACTTCCTCCACTCCTCCAAACGTTCATAAGAACAGGCTATGACTTGGGGCCCATCTGTCAAGATGGGTGCTCAGGACAGGAGAAGCAGTATGATCGAGTGTTGGGTGCCAACACCGGCTTGGTTTGGATCATTGCTGCACTCGCCTGGTTCCTTGTGAAGCTCTCTCTTCGTCGGG